ATAATACCCAATCGGTAATAATCTACATCGTTTTTCCGTTTAAACTTCCCCGCGCGCTTCAACTTGCCCCGGTATACCTTATACTGTGATTTCTGGTGTCTCGTGAGTACATTCTGTTAAATGATGGGTACAGTGGCAGATCCCAAAATACAAAGACAGTCATCTGTGAACTTCTGAAGTATTTAAGTTTCTTCTCCTAACGTTCATTTGCTTTCATAATTCCAGTAATTACGACATCGTGTAGATATATGCATGTTTCATGCGACCAACTCGTTCGTTTAAAATGGAAATTAATGAAATCCAAACAGCATCAGCGCTACAATCAAGCTTCTGCGATTGCGATTGTAACACTTAGATAACAACGTGCTATCAACTCACGACCAAGAAGCTACAAAACAATAAACAAATTACGGTATTGTTCCACCGTCAGGGGAACAGATTTTTCCTTCGCCTTTCAATGATTACAAGAAGCCGTGGCAGCAGCCGTCTTAAACTCAAGTCAAAGAATCACTGCTAAAAGTAATGCAGGCCAAACGTGCAATTAAGTCTACACACCCATACACACATTTTGCCACTGCGTTTTGCATAAAAGATAAAACAATTGCACCTTGTTTTCTCACCTTTCAACCTAAAACGACGACACTGCTGCTACAAGTGCAATGGTTTGCTGGCTGCGCTTCGAAGGGGTTGGACCGAGTAATAAACTTTAAACCGAGATGAGATTGAAGTCATCAATCAACCAGCCAGTCGGCGGCTACCGAATTTGAACCTAATTTGACCCGTAAGTCTGCACAATTCTCGAAGCACTTGTCGTTATGTAAAGCATGAAAACCCATCAAAATTGGAGCAACTTAACTTTGATTCGCCCCGGGGACCAAGCGCAATAGTTAGTAGCAAGTTCAATGTGAAAGGCTTTTTACTGCGTTTTTGCGCTATCCCAACACGAGCAAATAAAAACACTCCTAAACACTTTATGTTTTACGCCTGCTGACCAACCCTCAGTCGGTGTGAGTTGGTTCACAGTTACATAAAAAAAAAAAACATAGTATAAAAACAAACAGAGACCTCTTGGCCCGTTGGCTCTAGTAGACGCAAGAAATGCGTGCCACTGAGCACCTGACCTTGTGACGACGACGGGCAGCAACCGATTGGCGGCGCTCTGCACTGATGCATGGACATTTGGAGTTATACCTATGGCAAACGGGCAGTCGCCGCGTCGTGCGGACTTCCCACCGGGACTACACGGCGGTCGTGGCCGAGCCCTTTGCAGCTTGCCACTGCCGCTGCACCTTTTGATGGCCACACCGCGGTCCGCGGCGCGGCGAAAGTTGATCTTTGATGTGTGTTGTTTTCGGTCTTTTGGTAAATTGGTTACCCATGTGGGCCGGACGAACGACCGGCGACCAGAAGTGGTGGCCCACGGCGTTCACGAAATTGTACCAAGTGTCGCTGATCTTGATGCTGTTGTGTGATGTAAACTGGAGCAATTCTTCGTCGTCTCCGGCTGAATGGAGCGAGAGCAGTCGATGAGTACCTAAAAGGGTAGGACAGGGTAAAACGCATCCCCCGTGTGTTTTTTCATAGCTTTCCCATGATCTATTCGTTTTGTAGTTCAATATTTAAACTAGCATTTTGGCGCATCAAATTATAGGATTAGTAATGGGAAAGTAACAAAAAAACGAGTTGGGTCATTTAACTCCCGGGGTGCATTATGGACTGTTTTCCCCAACCCTACAACAGTCATATCGCTGAAACATGATGGTGATGGTTGCGTAAGGCACGATTGCGTGTCAAGTGATGGCAGCGGGGTTCTTATTTAATTAATTGACCGTATTAGCGGGTTGTAATTTGGCTATGGGAGCCATTTGTCAAGCCAAACGGGATCGGGGTGTGGTGGCGTTTTGGATGATGTGTGATAATTTTCAGTATTTTCAATCAAATTAGTAGGTGCATGTGATTGTGGGTTGGGGCCTCGTCGTCTTCTTCATTCCTTTATTTAACGTCGGTCTTTGTTCCGCAATCTACCAAAGTAACATTGAAAGTTTTATCGAGGTTTTATAGTATTCTACAAGTCTAAATCATGATCTACAAAAAAATTTACTTGGGTAGTGTCAATCACCGACGGACATCGATTTCCATCCACTAACGGCAATCGAATGTGCAGGAAGGCAGCTTTCACACCTGCGTAGGATATTGCACCCATTCATCAACGCACATGGGCCGGGATCAACAGCTTTACTTTCCTTCCTAAGGAATACTTGACCAGAGAGTTTTATGCCTCAGAAAAATCCCACCGACCTCGGCTGGGATTGAAGCCAGTCCCAGACCCATTAGGGTGAGAAAGCAGTCACGCTTACCACTACTCTACCGGTGCAGGCCGGGGCCTCAGATAGCCTAGGCAGTATTCATGTAGCCATGTTATTTAGAAAACCTCATGATGCCCGGTCATAATTAATAATTGTTTCAAGGGAGTTTTGTGAAGAATTCCTAGGAAGTTCTGAGGAGAATTCTAAGCAAATTAAAAGGAGATTGTCTGAGGAGAACCCAGAGTTAGTCCTAAGAAGAGTTCCAAGAGAATCTCGATAATAATACAGTTGAAGTTCTTGAGAGAATTCAAGGGATTTTTGGAGCATAATTTCTAAGAACTTCTGTACATAGTTTCAAGGAAATTTCAAGCAAATTTTGGAAATATTCCAAAGGAACTCGTGGATAAAATGCAACTGTATTCTATATCAAGATTCCTTAGAAATTTCTGGAATGTTGAGGAAAATTAGATATGAATTGTGATAAGAATTCCGGGTTAATCAAATGAAACTTAATATATTTCTGCAGAAAAAAGGGAGATCTAAAAATACATTCAGTAGAATTCTAAGGAGATTTCCAACGTATGTAGAACATCAGGAGAAATCTAAGAATAATTCGATGGAAACTCTTAGGACGATTCAAAAACAAATTCTAAAAAATAGGAAGATGGTTGCCGGACTGCACTCGAACCATGAACGTTGCTTTCTCCACTACTTTGTCCATGCTTCGGAACATAGATAGGCTAAAAGTGAACTAGAAGCACTAATGACCTATCATACTCGATTTCGTATGATTTTTCTGCTGAACGGGAATCTGAGATAATCGTGGCATTTTACAATGTTATAAATAAAACGTGTGGTAAATGCTTGCTTAAATACTTGAAAGTGTTGACAGAACATGAAACAAAAAAAGATGAAAAATCATTGCATCGTCTGCAACTTATACCATTATCTGCGGAGGATGATAGGAAATGCAACTAACAGTCAATGTAATACATTTTTGGTTTGCGTTCAGAGTTTTTAATAAATTAAGAGAGTTCTCATCAATTCGAAGAGAAATCCTGTGATGAGCTCCAATATAGTTCAGATTTTGAGCCTGATTTGATCGTTTATAAAGCTTGAAAACAATATTCCCAACCATTGTAAAATAAAAAAACTACACACTTATAAATACCTAATTTTTCACGAGACTGAATCCACCTTTGATATATAGGATGAGACGTAAACAAACATGTCATGTTAAATTAAGTGCTCCAAGACTGAAAAGTTCGTTACTCAACGAAAAGTTCATTTGATTAAGCTATATTTCACATCTTTTATTACTCATATTTATGTCAAAATTGACGCTCGTACATGTCAGTCTCAGAGTTCCTAAATTTACATGATTTTTTCTAAGTGTGTATATGAAATTACTGATCAGTTGCAAATTGATCATCAAAGTCAGTTGGTCAGAGGTCATCAAAGTCATCAAATTTTTAAATTATTTTAAAATTTATCTGAAATAATGGACAACTTTTACGAAATTATTTATAAAATTTGAAGCAGTTTCATCAAAATCGGTCAGGAAATTATGTAGACGAAAAAACAGTCAAAAACACGTGTAAACAGAATTTAATGTATATCTTAAACATTATTACTATTATTATTATTATTTTATTTAAGAGGTTTTAAATTTTAACAAATTCATTCGCCTCTAATTGATAGGAAATATAAAAGGTGCTACGTTCAGTTCAAGTTCGAATATTATAAATTACAAAGTGGTCATATTTTATCAACTAGTTGACTTTCTCTTAGGAATAACAACAATTTTTCTTCAGCGTTGGGATCATTGCATAGGATTTTTCGTATGGATCCAGGTAAGTCAACGGTTTTCCGACAGTTTTCGTAGACTGGGCAGAAAACGAGCAGATGTTCCCCAGTTAGGTGACACTGACATACTTTCGCATATATTGAACAGTTGTAAACATGAAATACTTTTAAGACGAGTTATTTATACAGATAATTCACTTACATGCGACGAAATATATTCATATGTATCATAACTTGTTTACCTGGAAAAATAAAAATAAAAACATAATTAAAACATGGAACTGAAATATAGGTAAAAAATATATGCAGTCTATGCAAAAAATGTAACTATTGATGAAGGTTTAGTGGTCCTGCGAATGGTTTGAAGTTTTATGGGAATCTCTATGAATGCATTTTAAATTTCATTTGTATCGCTCAGACTTTGGTTTAAGTTTTCGAACTGGAACTGTAGGGTAAGTGCTCTAATTTAAGCCTTATTTATTTTCCTAAAACCATTCAGAAGAAAAACGATGAATATGATTTGAATTGATGATCTTTATACAACTCAATGTCTCAAACTTGTGAAAAACGTGAATTTTCGTCAATACATGACCAAAGTAGCAGCATGACCAAAATACTTCTATACAAGCTTTGCTGACACAGATCTACTCAACTACATAATTGGGACGAGACCGGCGTAGTGGTTAGTATCCATGCCTCTCGCACTAGTTGTCACTAGTTCAAATCTTATCCGCAGAGTCACGAATGACCTAAAATAAGATAAAGTGGTTTAACCGGAACAAAAAAATCATTCTGTTCAACATTGAAGTTACTGTAATTGGGAGTGACAGTGGGCCAAACAAATCAAAAAAGTCCAATTAAATTTCAGGATTTTCTGTCTAGGACATGATGACAACGAAGATTAACAAAGAAACGTTTAGACAGCTTCGAGTAGACCCCTTACAGAACATAGTGGAACGCGTGAAGAAAGCACTGAAGGAGCGCAAATCAATATTAGGAGATGGAGCAGGTCGTTTACGGGAATCCAATCCCATTATAATCAGGATCAAAGGTCTCTCCAACGTCCACAAACCGGGAAATGGAATGCGAGAGATCGTGTCTGCAGTTGGTTCCCCAACCCACAAACTAGTGAAGTGGTTAGTCTCAGAGTTCCAGAGTATGCCGAATGTGTTCCAGAGTAAAGCAGTTAGTAACACCCAGGAGATCGCCCAGCAACTAAAATCTTCAGGAGACATCAACGAGGACGAGATTATGGTATCTTTCGACGTCAAAGCTCTTTTTCCCAGCGTACCGGTCACGGAAGCGATCAACTATTTGGAGGATTGGCTATTAACACAACGAGAGGATGCAGCATGGAGAAGCGAGGTTGCAGCATGGAGAAGCGAGGAACTACTTCTCTTTCCGAGGTAACTTGTACAAGCAGAAGAAAGGAGCCCCAAATGGGAAACCCCCTATCCCCCTTCATGTGTGAACTTTTCATGGCCAATTTCCTGAAGGAAAAAGGACTATAACCAAACCGTTGGTTTGTTGACGATATCTTCAGCGTAGACAAACGGAAAGCCCTTCCACATATTTTAGATGAGATCAACAGAATTCACAATGATATCAAATTCACTCACGATGTAGCAAAAGACGGGAAAATCGCATTTTTCGATTTTCTAATCATCAGGTTATCGTCATCAGCACCAAAAGAGTTAAGATAGTGGAATTAAATTCGAAATTACTAATCCTTCTTTCTTTATACAAACAAGTTAGTGCCCGACCTTTCACATTTTAACAAGAAAAAGAATTTTAAGCATCTGAATAAATCTATCAATTTATTTATTTATTTACTACTGTCGTGTGAAAATGGTTGAATGAAATTGATATCTCATTTAACAAAAAAAAAAAAAAAAAAAAAATGCAAATAGACCAATGTGAAACTTTTTGTGGGGTGAAATAGGGCCAAAGCATAAATTTGGCTAAAATATCATAAAATATTGCAAATCTATTGCAGCTATTGTGGACACTTGTTAATTGCTGAAGATTGCGTGTAGGCTTCCAAGAAGCGTATTCTAGTCATCATTTTCTGTATATTCAAGATATTTTCATCAATAAACATTTTTCAGTTTTGGCCCAATGTCACCTCGTCTTCCGGTAGCATGTTTTTACATCAAAGTGTCGGACTAAGTTATTCATCCTATTTTGTTTTTTCTTTGGGTTGATTAAGCTCCTATCCTTGATTATATTATGCTTCCAAACGGCCTTTATTCTGTGCTTTAGGATTCAAGGGTGCTTAATCAACTTTTCCAGAATGCCAATGCTTAGGGTTAAGTTTCTCAGTTCACTGGTCTGCCTGAAATTCTAACTAAATGCAGCAGTGTGGCACCATTTCAGCGTACTTCACTTCACTTCGACACATCCCCCTTAAATCTGTTTTTCAACAGTCTCAAGGAATTTTTTTTCTTAGCATTCGTTATTTAACTCATGTGAAAAGAGTTTGTTGCATGAATGCAGAATAAAGCAGTTTGTCTTCATTGTGTTTGACGTGTATGGTGGAAATGGGTCCCATATGCCGAAGTTAAGGCGCAGGTACAAAGCAAGACCATGCTAGTGGTTGATGGGTTCGATTCCCGATTCAGTCTAGGAATTTTTCAGGTTGGAAAATGTCTCGACTTCTCTGGGCATATCGAGTATGATTGTACTTTGCACACAATTATACTAATTCAAAAATGGCACAGGCATCGAAAACTCACAATTAATAACTGTGGAAGTTCATTTAGAACACTAAGTTGAGAGCATGCAATAAACTTATATGCGATAAACAATAAGCATCAAAAATAATTTACATATAACTTATAAATATTAACTGAATCTCGTACAGAAACCCATTTTTAAGAATTTTCTAGATTCCAAACTTAAAAGACTTCATTTCATTCCTTTATTTAACATCGATCTCTGTTCCGTAATCTAAAGCCAATCACCGATGGATATCGATTGCCATCCATTGACGGCAATCGAATGTGCAGGAAGGCAGCTTCCACACCTGCACCCATTCATCAACACACATGGGCCGTGACCAACGGCTTTACTTCCTTCCGAAAGAAGACCCGACCCGAGATTTTTATGCCTCAGAAAAATCCCACTGACCTCGGCTGGGATTAAACCCAGACCTATTGGGGTCAAAAAACAGTCACGCTTACCACTACACCATCAGCGGTGGCTAAACTAAAAAGACGTAAAGACTTTGAATTTTTGTGAAGATCCTAGGTTAAAATAAATTCAGCTAAGGATTTTTTACATCACCTAATATTTGTTTAAATAAATAATTCTAGAAATAAAACAATGTTTACTATGCAATGGAATTCAGTAAAATTTCAATTGAAGGGCTTGATAAATTGAATCTGCTACCGGTTGTAATTACAAATTCATATGATCACATATCAAGTCTAAGAGGAGTACCACAATGAACTATTAGAGGCTTGTCTGAGCACTAAGAGCTCCGCTAAGCACTGTCTGTTAAGCACTGCCCTAGAAAAAAAATATTAGGATTCTCTTTGTTATTGGCTCTAAGTTTGGCTCAAACTTTAAAGGAACTTTTTGCTATTGAAACCTCTTGGAATTAATTTTAAAACTTCGGTGATATTAATAAGATTTCTCACAAAAATTCAATTAGAATTGCCAGTTTTTTATAAATTTGCCAAATATATGACAAAAGGTCGAAAGATAAAAGGCCGAAGGACAAAAGGTCGAAAGGCAAAAAATCATATTGAACTTAGAAGGACAGAAGGTCGAATGGACAAAAGGTCGTATAGACAAAAGTTCGAATGAACAAAAGGCCGAATGGACAAAAGGTCGAATGTTAAAAAGATCGAAAGTACAAAAGTTCGAAAATACAAATGTTCAAATGAACAAAAAGACCAATGGACAAAAGGTCGAATGGACAAACGGTCGAATGGACAAACGGTCGAATGGACAAAAAGTCCAATGGATGAAAGGTCAAATGAACAATAGGTCGAATGGAAAAAATGGCAAATCGGAGATGAACCAGCCTGCGGCTGAAAATCTCCTAAATAAAGGAAATTAATCAATCATAATGGCGAATGGGCAAATGGTCGAATGAACAAAAGGATGAGTGGACAAAAAGACACATTGAACTTAGAGGGACAAAATTTCAAAGGAACAAAAGGTTGAACGGACAAAATGTCCAAGTGGATTTAGAAGGACAACATATTAGAGTTGAAAAGCACTTACATACAAATACTTTGCATATACTTTCAATTAATTGCTCATGATTTAAAGATGGAATATTTTCTAGAGATAGGCAGTTAATTGTCTCTTAAACTGCCATGACACGCACCGTAACTATTTTTCATCTTAATTTTCCAAGGAACTGCTCGTGATTTAAAGGATGAAACATATTGTAGACTTAGCCACCCATTTTATCCTCGCCCAATTTGACTAGTTTATGCATTTCGACATTTGTTCACTTTGAATACAATTTGACCTTTTCTTCCCATAAAAGCATAACAGTCCCGTATGGATTTTTGTCAGAAATGAGTTAGCCATTAAATCGATTGTAAACTACCGGCATTTTACATTGTGCACTACGAGCATTAGGAGAAATACATTTTCAACGGCATTTTTCTCTGCTTGCTGTTTTTTTCCAGATGGGACTGATATGCTTTTATATTCAGTGTTGTTCTTTCAATCCTTTTTCCATTCGACCTTTTGTCTTGTCTACGCAACCTTTCCTCCATTCGAACTTTTGCCCATTCGATCTTTTGTCCATGTGATCCTTTGTTGTTCAACCTTTTGTCCTACAAACTAAATTATTATATTTTTTTTCCTTGATTTGTTTTCCGTGTTGAGCACCAATGCTACCAATGCCAGGGGGCAGCTCCCACACCTGGACCCTACCTATCGACCCATCACTCATGAACCGGGGACCGGCTTAACAGAGATGTTATGACTCAGAAAATCCCGGCGGCGCCGACTAGGATTAAACCCAGGCCTGCTGGGGTGAGAGATAATCACGCTCACCACTACATCACTGGTGTCGCTATTATATCACCTTTGTAATTATACAATTATTATTATATATGAGTATATGTACCTACTGAAACTTTCTGCCGATATCTGCTGGGGATTCATATTCTCGGTTAAATTAGTGGCCTCTGTTTGATCAAACAATTCAAAGATCTTTGGGAATTTTTCAAAAACCCACTCATCTCGTACTGCAAACCACCCAAGTCAATCTTATCAATCATCCACCAAAATCAGCCAGCGCCAACCAGATGAAACGCCTCAACATCGATCCAATCATCGCCTTATCCTGCTCGCTTCACGCCCAATCGGCTCTAATAGCCGGTACATATCTCTTCATCATCTGCCCCAACAACAACTCCGTCCGAAAAGCATCGTCCTCTCGCCTCCGAGACGGTCTTCGCCATAAAGCGGGGATGATCTCGCTGGAATAAATTATAGTGCTTCATTTATCTCCGACGATCGATGATCATTATTCAAATCATACTGGGGCTATTGACTAAGCTGGGGCACGATTTCTGCGGCCGTCGCCGGGAAGATGATGCTACACAACGAACTCTACTTTCTCGGTGGGTGGTCAATGGCACGCCGCCGCCCCGCCCCGACTTGTTTTGGTGTCAGTTTGACAAATGCGCCGGGGGTGAGATATCACGATTTTCACACCTCCTCAGCTGGTCCTGGTCGCTGGTATCATCGGAGCTTGTAGATTTCCTCTTTGCGACTAGAATCTGAAGAGGGTTCTGGCAAATTAAGATTGATGATGGTGTGATTTATGTTCCGATAAGTTCGTAGGACATTAACAATTGTAATTCGAAAGGTATATGCGCAGAATATATGAAATATGTGACCTTAACCAGGCCCAACCCGAGCGCGGGCTCGTGTTGAATTTATGGCTGTTATGTTATGCAGATATGCTGTACCCGAGAGTGCGACGCTCGTGCGGTTTGCGTTTATGAATTTACACGACTTGGTACTTTTCAGCCGAGAGGACAAAAATCTGTTCTGTTCGAAGGCGAGTAAATTAGTGTCGATTAAGATACCGGCACCTCGCGGGAGACAGACGGAGAGAACGAGAAATCTTGCACCATTTTAAACAGATCACGATCCACCGACGACTTGCATGGACCGGCAAAGGGCCCTAATGAATTCTATCAATAATTGAAATATTTCCATCATCATTTTTCGCGCCACCCAGTAATACGCTCAAGGGAGCTTTGAAAACCAAGGCCACACGAATTGTATTTGTTGGGTTGGTGTTCGGCTAGAATTCCGTGGTAAATTGCCTTGTACGACGCGGCTTCGGTCCGGGTAAATATTTTGTAATTGGAAGAGAAAAACATGTGCCCGTGCAGCCCAACTACTGCATATAAATTTTATTAGC